GGTTCAACTCAATAAGTTTGTTTTTCCAGTCTTTAGTAACTTAATCCGATGCTTAGCATTAGGTTAGAAATTAATTGAATCTTTAAACAGTGTGTTTGCCATGATTTGTATAGTTTTTTTTTGGGGGGCTCAGAGTCGCTACCAATGAAAGATATCATCTTGGAAGGTTCTCTCAACTTGCTTGAGATGCATGGATATTATTCTTAAAGGCATTTTACGATAAAATATATTTGTTAGGATTTAACCAGTCACGGATATAAAAATATTTTTTTACGGTGGACACTTATATATAGGGGTAAGTGAAATTTGTTTCGATTCAAAAAATTGAACTTTTTGACTCGATCCAAATTGATTTTGAGTTGTAATTTTATAATTTTGACTCGACTCGTAAAATTTAAGTCAAATTGAGTTATAAATAGAACTCGTTCATTCTCACCTAGAACGTTATGTAGGGGTTTATTTGTCTTTCCACATTTATTAGTTCATTAAACCACTCTATTTTGGTCATTTACACTCAATGGCATTTTGGTCATTTTCTCCTCTAAAAATGTCTTTAGTTTTTGCGCACTTACGATGATTATTATTACTGCTACTCACTTGGTGCATTATTTGTTAGCCCGACATTTGATTTAGGTTCATTACTCATTAGCAACTCTCTAATTGATAATAACAAACTACCCTTCGATTCAACCTTAAACCGAAGGAGCAACTTGCGAGTCTTTGAGTTATTGATATTCACATGGTACATGATTCCTCTATAACACTATTTGCGTGGTTCATCATCTCGCTCACAGACACATCCTTCACAACGATCTTTCATTCGCGATTACCCGATACATGCTTGATTGTGGGTACTTGGAAGCATTCCACTCATTAAGGTTATTTCGATCATAACCCACTCCTAAGAGTGTTTCTAGTCATTTTTAACCTTTGAAGCCTCTCTCAGGCTAAATCCCAATATTACGAGTTATCCCTAGTACTTACAGGATTTAGCGAAGTTGAATTTGACCATAAAAAACAAAGTAGTATCAATACTCTACATGTAGTATAGATACAACATAATCAAGTATCAATTCTCCCTTGAGTATTGATACCAAAAATAGCTAGTGTTCTAAAATTACCCCAATATCGATACTGACACACTTGGTATTGATACCAGATGAGCAAAATCGATACTATTCCCTAGAGTATTGATACTCATTCTAAAAGAATGTCATATTACACTAAAAGTATGAAAAGTATCGATAATGTTCATACAATATCGATACTACAACCTAGAAAATCTAGAAATAGGCTCAGGAATTACTCAAAAATTCTCCCAAACACTCTAGTTTGATCCTAAATCATGTCCTAAAGCTTAGAGAGCTTAGAGGAATTATTTACGATCATCCAACACCATAAAAACACTAACTTTACCACAAAATATCATCTAGGGCATGATCAAGCAAAACCCCCCAACATGCTCAAATATCTAAATCTCCAACAAGCATCACATTTAGGAAAGCCATAACACAATAAAAGATTGAAAATACACTACTTTAGCTAGAGAATCTGAAAATGAAGTTCCTTTAACTTAAGATCACCTTCTTCTTTCTCTCTTTTTGATCTAAGAAGATTTACATCCCTATTTCTAGCCACACAAGGAAATGGAGGATTTTTCTTAACATAAATGGTTGTATGAAGATTCAAGTATGATTAAAAGTTGATAGAGAAATGGAAGGAACCCGTACCATCCACCTTGATCTTAAAGCTTAGAGGAGAAACAAGAATGAATGAAGGAAGAATAAGAAAAGAGAAAGAGCACAATATAATAAGTGGCAACCAGCTTTTGCCTATGTTACCCATGTCCAAGGCACAAACAAGATCCTAAAAATCAGGCTTGTTTTCAACAAAGATCTAATTATACTTTTCGAGTTCGAGTCGAGTTTCAATATTATATTTCAAGTCTGAGCTGAGCTTGATAATTTTTTACTCACGAGTTTTTGAATCGAGTCGAGCCTAATTTTATACTTTTCGAGTTCGAGTCGAGCCTAATTTTATACTTTTCGAGTTCGAGTCGAGCTCAGCAATACTCGAGCTCGACTCGGCTCGTTTACAACCCTAATTATTAATTTACATTGTACACCTTTTGAGTTCATAAACTGAATAAAAACTTCGTATACTGCTTATTTTTAGTATAACTGCTAGACATGAAAAATTTGATCTGTTATCTGACTCAAAATTTGATATAAACATGAACAAGATGATCTCAAATTGATCCGGAACCCGAACCCAAATTAAACCAAAATCGATCAGAATTTTAGTTGGATCGAAAGCGATCCGAACCTGAAAACTCAAACCGAAAGCAACTCGAATTTAGTTTACCCATACCTGATTTGAACCAAACTTCGACCCGATAATTAAGACTAAGTGAATGAATAATTTATTATTATCATTATTATTATTATCTATTTTTAGTATTGATAGATAGTAAAATGATGTATGTTTTATTCTCATTTTATATAATACTACTAATTAACTACCAATTCTAGTAATACTTTAATGGTTTAATATATTTTTTCCTCAGTTAAAAGATCATCTCTATATATGACGCAATAACTTCTATATCTTAATTTGGACTGTAACAATTTATATTCACATAAAATTCTTGATTTTAAAAATTTATTGATTCAATTGATTTAAACTAAAACTTCTAGCTCTGAATTTGAGATGCGAGAAATTTGACAATTTTTTTATAGAATAATATATAAACATTAGATTGTGGAGAGAAATATAATAAAACTTTTTCAATGTTTATTTTAAGTGAACTTTGATTCATATTTATAAGAAAATTCATGCTTCTTTGTATTTTTCTGTATAGTTACAACTATTTCAAATATGTTTAATTTTTTTTAATAGTATGCGGTGATTATAGAATAATATTTATTCATAATTTTTTTAACCAATTAACAACACAATACACATTACAAACGTAACTGCTCAAATTTAAGAACACTAAGAAAAATAGCATTCCTTCTTCCCACTGCGGTCCTTGATGAATTCCAAATATGTTTTATTTATTAAGTTAAGGTGATTATAAAGTAGTATTTATTTTAAATACTCTTAATCATTTGACAATGACTGTTCAATCACCATTGTAATCGTTGATGCTCGAATTCGTGACCTCTAAAAACAACAACAATTCTTTCATCTATTGAAATAAGTTAGTTCGTGCTAGTTCTAAATATGTTCTATTTGAATAACGGTATCTTTTGATTAAATACGGAAATATAGAATTTTATAAGCTAATAGAAGCAACATAACTTTTAATCCGTTAGTTAACTTTTGGATTATTTACAACTTTTCACATATAACTATTGAAACATTGTTCTCTCTTTGTTCTCATTATTTTGTCACTTGTTAACTCTGCACATAATTTTAATAAATTAAAATCATGTCATATAAAAGTTTGAAATGGTAAAATTATTTTTTAAAAAGTTGAATTTTTTTTAAGGTTAAAGGGTGAAAAGAGAAATATAAAAGTCAATATTTGTTAAAATTTTCAAAATGAGATAATTTTAAAATAGAAAAGTGACAAAATAATTGGGACAAAGGAAGTGAATGTTTTTTTAAATGTTTCAACATAATCGAGTTAAATTAAATGGAAAACTTTCTAGCCGCTATCTCCACTTTACCCTAACCGCTATTTTTATTTGATTTTATTTAGCCGGCGGTGACACAAGTTTTAATGTTGGTTGTCAACCGTTGATTCTTTTTTTATTTGTTTTTATTAGTTTTTTTAATAAGAATAATTTTGCCTTTGTAACACGTTTTTTTCTATCTTTGTGACATGTTTTTTTGTTTTCTTTCCGAGTTATTTGGTCGTTCTTTTTATTTTATGTGTTCTCAGAGTTAGATTTGACGATGACATGACTGATTAAGATGTCATTTATTTGTAATCTTGTTAATCTTCCGTGCTATGAATCCTCAAATTGAATTTGAAAACGCGATTTTCTATTCATGGATAATTTCTCATGATGGTCGGCTCTGATTTGCGGTTTTCGGTGACCTTTCAATAGCTTAACCTCTTTTTATGATTTGTTTGTCAATACAATCAGATTTACTCGTATATATTTTTTATTCAACTCTTGTAGTTGGATTTGTAACCTTTCCCATATATGATTCTTATATGATCTAAGGTGATTAATTTAGGATAATAGTTGTAAACTCTGGTAGTAATTTTGAATATTTTTACCTTTTAATAAGATTAGCTTATTGCATTAAAAAAATGAAAAAATATCTTGGTATTAGAATCTTCTTGAAAATATTATTAAATTCCGAGTAAGAGAAAATAAATTTAAGATTGTATATTTTGAAAACTCTTCCAAAAAAGAGACAAAAATAAGAAATGCTAGCATGGTAAATTTGATTTGATAATATATTAAAAAATTATTATTTTTCATAATTTAACATTTTATTGAATTTCATATCTTTTATAATTTTTATAAAATGTTGAATTTTCAATTTTTTTTGATTTTTTGAATTTTGTTAAGATATTTACATCAACTTTTTATTTGATTTATTCAAGTTATAATTTTTTATTAGACTAAGGTGACTATAAGGTTGTATTTGTTCAAAAAACTTAATCATTTGACAATAAACCTAAAATATCATCACAGACAACTTGATCAAAAAACCTTAGGGATAATAATCATCTCTAAAAACCACTAAAGTTTCTTCGTTAGCGCATTCAAGTTATAAAATTTAACTTGTTTCAAACTAAAAAAAAAATCAGAAAACAAGTAACTCAATTCAATTATTTAAAACTTTATTTATTTATTATTAACTAGAGGGGATTGGCACTTACCATTGTAGCACAAAGTCTAAATAGAACCGGTAGTTGAGGGCATGTCCCAGGAAGGGTAGATATCTTTAGTCACTAACCATTCAATTCTCTGTTCTATTAACCCCAAACTCTTCACGTTTTATATACTCTTCATTTCCCTTCCTCGTTTCTCAATCCACACCTATTAATCATCTGTGCCAAAATGGCTCCTAAGAAGGACGGTGTGAGTAAAAGGGCTTTGAACAAAGGTGCATGGACAGCTGAGGAAGATTCCAAATTGGCCGAGTATATTAAGGTTCATGGTGCAAAGAGATGGAAAACAATCGCCATTAAAGCAGGTTCTTTGTGTTCATCAATAACAGCTGCTTCTGCTTTAACACAGGGAGAAACTACATGTTTTTCTTTTCACGTGTATAGGATTGAATCGGTGCAGCAAGAGTTGCAGACTGAGATGGTTGAACTACTTGAGACCAAACATCAAGAGAGGCAACATATCAGATGATGAAGAGGACTTGATTCTTAGGCTTCATAAACTGCTAGGGAACAGGTTTTTCTATCAGATATTACCATTTTCTTCTTTTTTCTTTTGGTTATTATTTGTCTTGTAGGGTCAAGGGATGATGCATTTTGATTTAAATGTTGGTACAGGTGGTCTTTGATTGCTGGGAGACTTCCAGGGCGAACAGACAATGAAATTAAGAACTACTGGAATTCACATTTGAGCAAGAAAGTAAACCAGAATGTTAAGACAGAAAAAACTTCATCATCGGAACTAATACTGCCCCACAAGGCATCGGAAACCGTCCTGATCGAAGAACAAGAAGAAGAAGAGGTCGTTAAAGGAAGTGATGAGAACTTCGATTTAAGCGTTGATGTAAACGAGTTCTTCGACTTCTTTAGTGAAGGTTGCTTTGGTTTGGAGTGGGTGAATGAGTTCCTTGAACTTGATGATCAAGAGAAAACCATAACAGATGTTAAAATTTAAAATTTCTGTTAAATCACGTAAAATTATAAAACAATTTATAATTAAAATACAAGTTCAGAAAAATCATTCATTTATTACAAACATAATTAAAATTATACAAGTTTCAGACTCGGATATAAAAACAGAACACAACCTACATGCCCCCTAATTACATGCACCGTACTCCGCAAGTAACGCCGGTGGAACTCCTTTACTGATGTTGATAGCTACACTGGTTCGATTCTTTTAACCTGAAATGGTGAGTAAAAGAGTGACATTTGGGATGCCCAGTAATACAAAACTACCAAGTGATGGTAAATGACATGCAAATAATAGGCAACCATAAAAATTTTCTTATCGATTCAGACGTCTACAGGTTTACAGGACGAGCTGTGGTTCCACTGATATTTTTTCGAGTAAAAGACATGAAGATTTTAGTTCAGAGGAAACATTCAGAGGACCAAGTTTAGGAGATCGGAATATGATGTCTAGTGTGTTCCAACAAAATAGAGTAATGTATATAGATCCTTTACAAACGTTAGTAGTTTAAAACATATTTTAAAACCACAATAATATCATCCAACCGAACACCTCTATGCAATTTCCCCAGAACTTCATCCATAAAGATTTTACCCTAAGCACACATTAAAGAAACCACCCTAAGGGAGTACCTTGAGGCCTATAGGCCTACCCAAAGGTCTCCTTAGGTCCGTAAGGAATTACCAGCTCAATCGGTCTGAACCTATATAAGGAATTACCAGTTTGACCTAGTTGAACCTGCATACTCCAGCCTACCCATACAATCCCCAGTAGAAATCATATTTATCAGTACCTTATAATATCAAAATCATGATCAAGTAGTATACTGTAAAAATGATCATGTAGATATTTAAATAACATGAATGCCCTCCACCCATACACCATATGCAGTCACGTGATTTACCCAAGGGAGTGCCTTGGGGCCTGAGACCATACCCAAGAAAGGTTCTCGGGGCCTCGGAGCCTACCCAAGGGTCACCTTAAGTCCGTAAGGAATTACCAGCTCGATTGGTCTGAACCTATATAAGGAATTACCAATTTAACCGAGTTGAACCTCCATACTCCAGCATATCTAGATAATGTCCCCAATAAAACAATTCAAGTAGTAACTAGTAGATCTCATGATCCATAAATCAGGAACGATTATAATTTCCAGTGAAAATAGGTAATCAGAGAACACATATCATGTAGTCATAGTTCATTTAAAAGTAAATCAAAACATCAATAAATCCGTAATTTACACTTGAAGCTGTTCCTACTTTTTTGCATGTGATATTAGTTATGCGATTTCATATTATTTTTGTGTCTAATGGTCTATATATATGTTTGCATGCGAGTATGATGGCCTTGTCCATAGTTCCTTAACTTGCAAATTTACTGAAGTTTGCACCGTCACTTTTTTTCCTCTCGCTTTTAACATGTAATGATTTTTAATTGTCATTTATTCTCATTTTAAATCAGCCAAGTTTGAAATTTTTTGGGACATTTCATTCATGTAATTGTACTGAAATTGTATATGGAGCTGAATATTATGCTTGTTTTAATTGAACTCAATTAGGATTAGAGCGGAAAACACCTCCTCAGGGTTATGTTTGTCACCGCTGTAAGGTTCCAGGTATGTTGATAATACTTATTTTCCTGGAGTTTGTGCTTTTTAGCAAACTTGTGCTTATTATGGAATTTTTCATATAGGGTATTTTATTCAGCACTGCCCCACAAATGGTGATCCAAACTATGATATCAAAAGGGTAAAGCCTCCAACTGGAATTCCAAAGTCGATGCTGATGGCAACTCCAGATGGCTCTTATGCATTGCCAAGTGGAGCAGTTGCAGTTTTGAAACCTAATGAGTAACTGTCCTGTCTTATAAGTTCAATTTTCTCTATGCTTGTAGGGAATTCATTTTTTTATGCTTGAAAATTAATTTGGTTTTTTTTTCTAACAGAGCTGCTTTTGAGAAAGAGTTTGAGGGCTTACCTTCCACTCGTTCTGTTGGTGACCTTCCACCTGAATTTCACTGCCCATTGTGCAAGGAAGTAATGAAGGATGCTGTTCTAACTAGCAAATGCTGTTTTACGAGTTTTTGTGATAAATGTGAGTTTCATAGCTACTTATTCCATTCATTTTCTAGTTATAATTTTCCTGCTGATGCTTTTGTTTATGCATGTTGAAGCTCACTTTAACAAAATGTAACTCAGGTATAAGGGATCACATTATCTCAAAATTAGTTTGCGTATGTGGGGCTTCCAACATACTCGCCGATGATCTTCTGCCAAATAAGACCCTAAGAGATACAATTTATCGTATATTGGAGTCTGGTAACAGCAGTGCTGACAATGCTGGAAGCACTTTTCAAATTCAAGGTTCATTAGCCATTGTCATAATAAAATGAAGTTTTCAATGAGTTATATGATGTAAGAATCATTATTGGGAAGTTAAGGCTTATCTTGAGGGCTGCTAATTGGGAAGCGGACAGATTAGCTAAAGATGGTATAGGTTGATTTGCTGTCTTAGTATTTGGGGAGTTGGTGTGTATGTTTCACTTTGTTACTGCAGTTTTTGGTTCTCAGTCTTATGTTATTAGTGACTACGTTGTCCAGCTGATAGTGGTTTTTAAGTCTTATGCATTTTGGGAAGTTTTGGTTGTTGAAAGGGTTGGCTATGTACTATTCTTCTGTTTAATATAATTATAGGCGCTCTTTTCCTCCTTTCAAGGCCCTTCATGTTACTTTCATAACATGGAGGGTAAAATAAAGGGGGTTTTTACGAGGCCTCATCTTCTATCAAAAAAAAAAAAAAAGAATCATTATTGATATGTCATTTCTTTCAAATTTAGATATGGAATCCACCCGATGTCCACATCCAAAAATTCTGTCTCCTACTACATCTGCTGCATCAAAGGGAGAGCAGAAGCCAGTATCTGCTAAGGAAGAATGCCCTGTTGTGAATGAAAAAGCTTATGAGGTGAAGGTAGCTATTCCTCCACAGCAGGCCTTGGAGAAAGTTAAGGTTGTTAAACCTGCTGATGCATCTGAGGCTACGCTGGAGTCAATGAGTGTGAAGGAATCTGCATCACAAGGGAGTGCCCTGCTTGCAGAGGAAGAAGTGCAACAGAAGTCAGCTTCTGGAGAGGCAGGTAATGATTATTTGTTTCTTAATTTTTTTTAATCTTGATTTGTTCGGTTTGGAAGAAAACATTCAATAATGTTGGTGCTAATCTCCTCTAGAAATTGTAAGAAAGTAAATAAAGGAATATACACTACCATTGTTTGGTTAAACAGCGGAAAGAAAATGATTCATTTTATTGACCTTTTCCAATTGTATTATCAATTTTTTTATAAAATAACTTGTGTAAAAGAATATGGGGATTAAAAGGTATCTTTTTTGATAAGAATATTCTGGTCGGGTATATTAACATACATTCTTCAGGTAGTAAATTTTTATGTAATCTTCTTTCATGTTTCATCTTACACACATAGTTGGATGTTGGTGTGTATTATAGAGAGAATTGTTTTCCTTCTCTAGTGGGAATGATGCAATAAATGGATTGAGTTTTAATTTTGATGCTTCGCTTTTCCAGGAAAGAAAAAGAAAAAGAAGAAGGTCTGTTTGCTAGCAAATGGTAGGTCTACGGACTCTTTTTGGTATTTGATGATGATACTACATGTGAGACTCATAAAATCATTAGGAATGTTTAATCTGAGTCTTATTCTTTTTGCTTTCTAGACTTGCATTGGAAAACCCCTCAGCATCTTGCAGCTGAGAGCTATATGATGTCTATGGGTCCTTCAGTCTATAACCCTTACTGGACTGGTATGCAGCCAGGAATGGATGGGTTTATGGGTCCCTATGTTGGTGGGATGCCTTATATGGGGGGATATGGACTAGGTCCACTGGACATGCCATTTGGAAGTGTCATGCCTCCAGATCCTTTTGGTGCTCAAGGGTACATGTTTCATCCTCCCCCATCTCAAAGGTACGAGTAATATTTGTTAAATAGTTATATGTTATGTTTATAACAGTTGCAATTTTATTGCTTGGGTGTATGCGTGGCAGTTTTGTCTGCTTTAACTTCACATGCAATTTGATTTGAATGTTCTATAGAGATCTTGCTGAGTTTGGAATGGGTATGAATGTTGCCCCACCAAATATGAGTAGAGAGGAATTTGAGGCTCGGCAAGCTGATTTGAGGAGGCGGCATGAAAATCAGAGAGGAGGTGAAAGGTACTGAACATACTCTCATTCTAAGCTTACTATTTGCACGCCAATTGATCACTTACTACGTTCAACTGACATGGGAATAATATTCTTCTTGTTATTTAGAGATGGATTTCACATGATTAATTGGCTTAGTAGCTATTTTCTAAAATTATTGCAGGGATTTCTCCAGAGATCGGGAATTCAATAGAGAAGTGAGTATCTGCAGTGATTTTTCTTTATTGAAATCAAAATCTGTATGTATTCATTATTTTCCTACTTTCTGTTTCTGGTTATGCCCATTGCCCATATGGTTCCACTTATTGACATAGTATAAATGAAAAAGAATAGTATAAATGAAAAAGGATAAGCACATAGAGATGGTCAGGGTTGCACGGTTTAAGCATTGTATTTGTGTCATTTTGCAGGGTTCTGATACTATATTATCTATGCTGCTAAATATGTGTTATATACTCTCTGCTTCCTTTGTTTCTTTAAGACAATTTCTGCTGTTTGTTGAGTTCGCAATGAAGTAGAACTTACATTAAACCTCGAAGCCATCCTGTAGTCTTCTATTAATGGTGGCAGGCTTGAGCTCGAGCTCGAGCTCAATTAAACTCATTGATTTTTGTACTCAAGCTTGAACTTGAGCTTGATTAAGCTTATTCGTATTCAATAATATGTATTAAGGGTAGAAATGTATTTTAATTATATAAAAAAAGCTCGAAAATCTTGTGATCCATTTGAGCTGGTTGTTATGGTGCTCGAATTCGGTTTTGATCTTTAACTTGAGATGCTCAAGCTCGAGCTTGGCTTGATAATTACCAAATCGAATTCGAGTTTTTTTCAAGTTGAACCAGATAGTTTGCGAGCATAGGTCTCCCATTTGTGCCCTAACTTGTAATCATTCTGCACTTGCCATCTACTATTCTCGAGCTTTTATCTACCAATGCTCTGTTGTTTTGCTGTTCTATTTCTATCCTCAAAATGAACATTAGAGAGAAATGAACATGAGAGATATATGCTTCTGGTCGCTATTCATGAAACACTACTGGAAGATTCTCTTGGCTTAATAGCATCAGCATGCTCATGTCCAGTGGCTGTGACATGGAAAACTAAGATAGTCTTTTGAGTCGGGGTGGAACACATTTATGATTTAACTTGATCATTTCAATCATGGTTGTTTGTTGCAGAAGCCTACCCCACAAATGTTAGGTGGTGAACGTCGCCATGAGTATCCTCGTCTCCAACCAGAGAGGAGCTCACAGGAACTTTCCTTGCGGGACCATGAAGCACCTTGCTGTCCTTCAAAGAGAAAACCTGACCAACATACTGAACGTGATCGGGATCACGGTCGTGATCACAATCATCACCATCGATCCGAGTCTTCGAAGCTTGCCCCTGAAACAGTCACCAAATCCACTTCCACGACTGCTGCAGCAACAATGGAAAAGACCCAAAAGTCGAGTGTGTTTTCTCGCATTAGCTTTCCAGAAGAACACAGCAAGAAACACATACAATCTTCGGATGCACCTGCATCTTCTGGTCATCACAAGTTAACTTCCAATGGATACAAGGCAACTTGTGTTAGTAGCAGTGGTGGTAGGAAGAACAGTCGGAGCAATGCTGTAGATCAGGAATGTAGTGATGATGATAGACATTTCAAAAGGAAGACATCAAGGAATTCGCGCTCACCATCAACGGAGTGGATAGAGCAATCGCGGCACTCGAGGATTCAAGGAACGAGAGCGCAGCAGCTATAATAAACATAGATAAGAGTGAAAATAAGAGTTTGCATCACTGTGAATGCCTACGAAGCTATCGTGAGCGAGCACACTGAAGCTATTGGAATCCCTTTTGGACCTTTATATTGCATTATATGCTTACAATTATAATATAATATAAAAGTTTTTTGCTTGCCCTGCATTTCACATCCCGTAATTATTCTTTTTGAACAATTTTTACTTGATCTTAATAGGTATTGAAATCACAATTCAAGAAAGAGGAAAAATGTTAACTGATAATTTTTAATCACTTATTTTAAAAGTTATTGATCATATTTTATAATTATTGAATTATCGTTGTTTTATCTTTTTCGGGGATATCGATGGATATAAATTCCAGATTCGTGATAATAAATTTGGGTACATGATATTATATTGATAAACAAAGTTTGGTACGTGATATTATATCGATAACATAAAAATTTATATATATTAATAATTGGCATTAAATACTAAAGTAAGTGTTCAAATATACTCTTCGTTCACTTTAAGTGTCTAAAGTATTTTTCGTTCAATGTAGATATCTAATGTTCTCAACGTTATCATTTTAAGTGTTTGATTTATTATGTTTGAAAAAACAAATTGTTACCTGACACTTGTTGCATTTATATTTATAATCAACCTTATAATATAGTTTATATTCAATTAAACCATGTACAATCAATGAGTCTATATTTTGTTATCACTTTAGTAATTTCACATGCAATATCAAGGACACTGTACACAAACAAAGTAAATAGATAGACATATAAAAATTTTATTTATTTCATTTCAATTCAAGTGGTTTCATTAATTATATAAATTACTTCACTTAGGACATAAAACTTCAACAATTGGTGATTTAGATATGTTTAAGGCAGGTTTACAAGTACCCTAAATTCGATTAAAGTCTCTCGTCACCACTTACCACTGTCATCGTTGGTCACCATCGGATGTCATCATTCGTCTTTATCGTCAACTGTTTACCCCAAAATTTATTATTAACTCAGTTTTTATATTTTGAACACGAATTTGATATTCGTTTCACTAGAAAATATCTAAACTCAACAAATCTAGTCTATAACCATTTCACTTCCTTTAAAATTAAACCAGTTTATTATTAATATTCCTTTAAAAGTAAGCGCATCAAAAATTGAATTTATATCAAAATTAAATTTATAAAGTTTTTGTTTATGGTATTGTTATGTTATAATATTTAATATTGTAAATATTAAAGATGTGACATAACCAAAAATTATAAATATTAAAAAATTACAATTAATATTATAAATATAATAAAAAATAATATTATAATATTATAAACAAATTTTATACATATTATTATGATATAGATTTAGATGTTTATTGTCTTTAGTTTTAAAGAAATATAAATAATAAATTTATTATTATGGTTTAATTTTAAAGAAAGTCGAAGGGTTCTAAACTAGATTTGTTGGGTTCAAAATATTTTCTGGTGAAACAGACACTAAATTCGTGTTCAGAATGTTAAAAGGGAGTAAAATGTAAATTCTGAGATGACGGTAGTCGATGTCGACTAACGATGGTAGATGTTGATTGACGGTGACGATGGTGACGACATAAGATTTGACTCGAACCTAGGGATCAAATTAATATTTTATTTTAAATTTAGGGTCAAAATGTTATTTTATATAAAGTTTAAATCAAACTAACTAGTGTTAATGGATCCATGACCAAAATGTAACATTCGATAACACATGTGACCAAAACTTAATAAATCAATAAAGTAAATGACAAAAAGTTAAATTATTTAATTTGATGAGCAAAAACGTACAAATATGAAAAGAAAGTGATCAACCCAGAAAAATATGGTCATTTCTACTTTGGGTCATTTGTGGATTTAAAACTTCAATATTATTATGAACTTGATTCTCGTACTAATTATGTTTATTATGCGTACTAATTACGTTACCAGAATTCTTTGGCAAGTTCGATTTATCTTTTATTAAAAAAAAAAACCAAACCAAATGCTCTCCTAGTAGAAAATAACGGGAGACCTCAGGCGCATGCCATTGAGTGAGCAGAGAGTTAATTAAATGCTCAAGATGGCAGCAAGGGTCCATAATCAACGATTATGGAACGGTATTTTGAATAAATTTGATCATTAACATTTGAGTAATAAATATAGCAAAACAAAGCTCCACTATAGTACTATCTTCATAACATATAATTACATACCCAGTTAGTGTTTAACCTAACAAAAATATATAAATTAAAATTTTCGTTTCTTAAAATCTTCCCTTCCCCTATGCAGAATGCCTTTTTTTATTTTTCATGGATTTAAGCAAACAATCTACATTCCTTAACGAACGAAGATGAACAATCTACATTCCTTAATGAACGAAGACGAATAAAAAAAATTGTGTTCGTTTATGTTCATGTCCGTTCATTTGTTCGATTAAAGTTAAACGAACGAACATGAACATATCATGCTCATGTTTGATTGGTTCGCTTACAGGCCTAATGATTATAATTGTTTATCAAGAAAAAAAAATTAGGTTTGATTTACATACTCAGACTACAAACGTGATAATTTATTATCAAATTTAAACTAAAATTAAAATCAAGTTGAATTTGAAGTTTCCCCAAGCAAAAACCCAAATAATTTGAAGTTTATGATCATAATTGATATAAGATTAAAATGTTCATAAGGTTTGAGTATAGAGAGTAAAGTTCAAAAACTGAAATTAAACTACTCAATCAAGATAAACTTTAATATCAATTCCATTATCAATGAGGGATTGAACCACAGCTCTGATTTTGCCTCCAAATTTGTCTCTCTCCTTGAGAGTATAAGAAGCTGTATACACATCGACTTCTCGCACTCTCTCAGCTAATATTCGTCTGATTGCCAAGCAAGCCGGGGGCAAGATGCACTTGATTAGATGCATGTCTGGTGCCTAAATGTACACTTTTCTAGAGTAATAGATGCAAAAATATTCTACCCCGATTAAATTTCTCTACAGTTTCTTTTAGGTTTTTTTTTCATATTTACCTTTACTACTAGAGAGCGAAAACAAAAAAGGAATGGTTTATATAGCAGAAGTTGCACTTACTATAGGTAGGGTCGTAAGATCGATGCACTTTTGTACAGAGGTGTTGGGCTTGGGTTATTGGGTCAGCCTGAGCAGGCTATGTGTTACTAATTTTTTTATTATTCCTTGGGCTTGGGGGTTAGGTTAGGGGTTAGTTTAAGGATGAGGGAATTCATCAGTTAACTTTCTTGATATGAGATTCTGTACTTAAATATCATATCAGCTGGACTCTTCGTTTTTTTCTTCTTAAAGTATCGGACATTTATATTTGACACACAATCAGACATTATATACACGATCGTACAAATACATCGGTGTATCGTCTCAGGCATATTTATGAATCAATCGTCCTGTCTCTTGTATCTAAATATGCTTGGTAAAGATCTAATTTCCAAGCCTGCTGATTTTTATTAACAATGATTAATATTTAAACAAGATTGATAGTTTTGGCAAACCACCTTGAGATTGAGGTGGGACCGAAATTGACATGTCTACATTGCAATATAACAGCAAGAAACAGCCTAATACAGAAGATTTGAACAAACGAAAACACATTCAGTAACTTAATCCACCGGCTTACTTTTCTCCTACATTAATACATACTTAGAAGATACAAACCCATAGATGATGGACTACGAAATGCGTTGAGGTCTTGAGGATGTGACCTTACATCTTTCTCTATTTCTAGCTTTCTCGTTTTCCTTTTCCTTCCTTTTGTAACTAGTTGGAAAAAATGTATGATAATGGATGCAAAACTTAGAACCATATCCTATTTCTAAATATATGCAATTAGTAAGGAGACCCATATCCTTACATCAAGGAATTCGCGCTCACCATCAACGGAGTGGATAGAGCAATCGCGGCACTCGAGGATTCAAGGAACGAGAGCGCAGCAGCTATAATAAACATAGATAAGAGTGAAAATAAGAGTTTGCATCACTGTGAATGCCTACGAAGCTATCGTGAGCGAGCACACTGAAGCTATTGGAATCCCTTTTGGACCTTTATATTGCATTATATGCTTACAATTATAATATAATATAAAAGTTTTTTGCTTGCCCTGCATTTCACATCCCGTAATTATTCTTTTTGAACAATTTTTACTTGATCTTAATAGGTATTGAAATCACAATTCAAGAAAGAGGAAAAATGTTAACTGATAATTTTTAATCACTTATTTTAAAAGTTATTGATCATATTTTATAATTATTGAATTATCGTTGTTTTATCTTTTTCGGGGATATCGATGGATATAAATTCCAGATTCGTGATAATAAATTTGGGTACATGATATTATATTGATAAACAAAGTTTGGTACGTGATATTATATCGATAACATAAAAATTTATATATATTAATAATTGGCATTAAATACTAAAGTAAGTGTTCAAATATACTCTTCGTTCACTTTAAGTGTCTAAAGTATTTTTCGTTCAATGTAGATATCTAATGTTCTCAACGTTATCATTTTAAGTGTTTGATTTATTATGTTTGAAAAAACAAATTGTTACCTGACACTTGTTGCATTTATATTTATAATCAACCTTATAATATAGTTTATATTCAATTAAACCATGTACAATCAATGAGTCTATATTTTGTTATCACTTTAGTAATTTCACATGCAATATCAAGGACACTGTACACAAACAAAGTAAATAGATAGACATATAAAAATTTTATTTATTTCATTTCAATTCAAGTGGTTTCATTAATTATATAAATTACTTCACTTAGGACATAAAACTTCAACAATTGGTGATTTAGATATGTTTAAGGCAGGTTTACAAGTACCCTAAATTCGATTAAAGTCTCTCGTCACCACTTACCACTGTCATCGTTGGTCACCATCGGATGTCATCATTCGTCTTTATCGTCAACTGTTTACCCCAAAATTTATTATTAACTCAGTTTTTATATTTTGAACACGAATTTGATATTCGTTTCACTAGAAAATATCTAAAACTCAACAAATCTAGTCTATAACCATTTCACTTCCTTTAAAATTAAACCAGTTTATTATTAATATTCCTTTAAAAGTAAGCGCATCAAAAAATTG